GGCACGGCCCTGGCACGACTGGTGCCACTCGGGTGCAGCTGGGCACTAACGAGGCTTGATGCGCGCTGGCGTGCGGATGGCACGGCATAGACGCGAGACAGACGCGAGCTGAGGCTATGCGGGCGCTGCCGAGCGTCCCTGAGGGTGCTGGGCACTCGGGCGTGCTGCTGGGCACGTCCCGAGGCCGACTGGGCACAACAGACCCGTCTCGGGTCGGCACTGGACTTGGCACGAGGCTCTGGCACCAGACCTCATGCGCTGGGGCTAGCACGGCGCTGCCGGGCGCCATGCATGCAGCCTGGGCACTACAAGTGCCGATGCCGCGCATGCTGGCACGGTCTCGTGCTGTTGGGCGCGGTCGCGTGAACTGGGGCTGCCGTGCGTCGCGCATACAGAGCGCGAGCACTGGTAGATACATTTAGCCTCTGAGGCAGGCGCTGGCTGGCACGGACAGAGGTAAAATTAGCCTCTGAAGGACGCGGGCAGACACGGGGCCGGGCACTGCCGTTCTACATGCGCGGCCAGTGGCCATGGTCGGCCCTTGCCGGACCTCCGGCGACATGCAATACATAACATCTCAATATGATAAAAATAGCCACAAAAATTATAAGAAACACTAGTAGACCCCGGGTCTACACGCATGATGCTCGGAAGGGCCTAAATGGCACGTTCAAGCACAAACTCCCCAAACCAACTATAAACTCTTAAAAATATGAACATGGCCGAGTGTTTAGCATGACAATTAATGGCTAAAGAGGCTGAAATGGTAGCAAGAACTCGCATGCATAAAGATAAGGTTCGGGGGTCCAAAATAGCACATTTTCATGAACAAGTTGACCGAAGAAACGAACTCCAAACATGCTCAAATTTCTACACCATCAATCTCATGATAAATAAGGAGGATTAAACTATCAATCTCGACTTAGGCATGCATGCAACTCAAATTCCAAATTTAAGGCCATTAAATCTTAAAATTCGAAACTTGCACTTAAACACATGCATGGCTTGATGTTTCTTCATGAAAAATCCTAAAATATCATAACTAGGCTAAGGTAAAAAGATAGCTTGAGCTAACCTTCACCAAAAGTCGGAAACGAGAACTAGGGCTTAAGTTAGGGCTAGTCACGACTTTGGAGGTTTGGCTCGCCTTGGAAGTGGAAATGGCCGAACTTAGTGAACTCAAAGAACTTATAAAATTCCAAGGAACACTTGGAAGTCGATAAGCCCTGGGGGAATCCGCTTGGAAATGGATGGAGCACGGTGCTTCTTCCTCTCGAGAGTGGCGCGTGCGTGAAGGGCCAAGGGACTTAGTCTCGGTTTCTTTTGATTTCTCTCAATGTGTTCGAGTATTAAGGTGTCTAAGAGCTGTAAAATGGCTAAGGAATGATCCTTTTAAAGGTTTAGGGGCGGAGGTAACAATGTGTAAAGGTGGGGAGCATTTTTAAGTGGAAAACTCCACTCCACTTGCATGGGGACTTGAGGGGCATCTTTTGCACGGTCTTTGGAGGTGTTTCTGGTGGAGTTTCAGGCCACATGTGAGGAGAATATGCTCTGGTCAGACTGGTAGCACATGGGGCACAAAGACTTACAGTTTTGGAATAAAATAATGTGTCCCTACTCCACTATCTTGCACCGATGCCATTTGACTTTGGCTAATGATTACTTAGGGCTAATGATGCTGAATTAAACCTTGATTAAGCCCTTAAAATTCGCATGGCATTGGGCTGAAAAGATGTGGGCTTAATCTCTTGGAAATGGGCTCGAGTGGTGGGCTGCCCTGGCTGGCGCTGGGCCTGGGGGCTGGCCTTGGGTGCGGCCTGCTGGGCGTCACGGGCTGGTGCGGGGCTACTTGCTGGACCCGGGCTGCGCGCGTGAAATGGCTTGGGGTGAAGGAAATGCTGGTCCTTAGGTGAATATTGGACTTAAGAAAAATTCCCAAACATTGGTTAAGGCTTGGACCAAGTCTTGGCTCGGAGGATGCATGCTTGGCGCGGCAATCGGCGCGGGCTCGGTTAAGTGCTAGGGTTCGAATATAAGGACCAAGACTTGAACTTTGGTACTCCACAACACTTAGAAAAATATTCTAAGTATCCAGAGACTAAGGCTCGGCTATGACATGGAAAAATATACTCGGAACGAATCTAGGGTTCGAAGTCGGTAAATTCTCGAGTCGATTAGATATCAGTTATCAATCCAAATTAATGGATTTATCTTGACCTAAACTTGATATAGAATATTCCAAAGAACAATCTATTTTATTTTAGCATTTAGCATATAAAATATAACTCAGAAAATTCTAAAAATTACGAATTTTCATTGCTTTCGGATGCAACGGGCAGACGACTTCCACTGCTTTCGCATTCATCAAAGGCACTATCGTTCGGGACACTTAGACTAGAGTTCTCACGCATACAATAATTTTTAAAAGAAACATTACACGAAATAATGAATGCGATAAATATGGAATACATCATAAATGTACCCACCTGGATGCAGCAACAGATCAAATCACGAATCTCGAAAGTAAGACGAGGTCAACACCTCTAGACACCTACATTAAGTCCAGATACTAAAGTCAACACTTTAATCTAGACCTAAGTAGAAAATTCACAAATTGGCTTAGCCGAACTTGATTCGACCAAGTGGTTCGTGAAGTTCTGTGGATATGGGAACTCTAGCACTTAGACTCGATCAAACCACATATTCAAGTTCACATAATCACAAATGAAAGACAATCAAACGAGCCACAAGTAAACACATAGCACATTTGGTCAACAACACTTAACAAATTTTAATATAGAAAATAATTTCCAAAATTCACACTTGAATTAGAAGGTATATCAAACCTACGAGTTAGACTCTGAAAATTTTACATAAAATTCAACTTCCAGTATTTAGCAAAAACACCAAGTTTCAGCCCCAAACTCATTACACTCAATTTTATAAAATTCATACAAGTTTCTCAACAAAAACGA